AGCATATTGTCATCAACAACATTCATTAAACCAGTATAAATACTTGACAGGACATCGGCATTCCTTACTACCTTACTTTTAGTCTTAAAATTTTACTCATTTAAATAATACTATTATTGGAATCTGATATATCTACAGTTTATGAATAACATGAAGGAAATAATGCATCATGCAAAGTTAAAGAAAAACACAAATGCTCCTTATAACTGTCTCATACATCAAACACATGAAAAAAAGCTAAATAGTTGACATTGGGAAAAATTATCAGATTAATTTAACGCATTCCAAAAATGGGCTTATTTTCTATTTTGGTTTTAACCATGGAATTTTATTTCCATTCCACTAACAACTAAGTAAACCTGTCAAATTAGGCCAGTCTTAATTTAAATCTAGTTAACATATAATTATAAAAAATGTTTCAACTTCCTTTAAACACAGAACTGTAGAAGTCAAGGAACAAGGAACAGGGATTCTAATTACTATATATCATTTCAGAAGCTCCCTAATAAACTACCATGCTTGATTTCTACTCATCATAAAGGGAAGTGGTTTCTAAAAAGATCACAAGCAGCAATCTTTACTAAGCTAAGACCCATAACTAAGACATTATCATTTCCTTCCATTAATGGAGATAACGTTTTACATCGGTGTGCTGTACCTAGGTTTCATTTTTGCTTTATGGTCATTTTCTGAACTCTTACATTTTTGTGACATTCCTTAAGCAAGTTAATCAAGACGTTGCATTCTTCAGTATGCAAGTGTGGAGATAAGTCAGGATGCATCTTTAGGAGAAGGAGATGGAGCACAGCAGAGCAACCTGTGGATACAAGAGTGTCTTGAATATGTGTGACTGTACTTGTTAATGCAACCTAAAAGTATTTTCAGTAAGAACCTGCAGTGACTTTTATCAGAAAAGAATGCTGACCTTAGGCAAATTATTAAACTTGAGCCTCAGCTTCCTTATCCAATGACTTAACAGATTTGGCAGGTCATCAGGAGTGTTTAGAGAATATGCAGGTTCAGAAAAAAGCGGACTCCTCAAGAGACCCAATCCTGGAAATAGGTGCTCAAGCAGAAACAGCTTGCCTATATTAATAAGCGTGCCTTCAATTACTTTTCCAACATTCCTGAAATTGATTACAAGTCATTTTGTTCGGATGAAATTCTACCAATGAAGAGAACTGGCCTATTAATCCTTTTTAAATGTATAAGGGTTAAAGGGCCATTAGTCAGTCTCACATCAGTGTGAATTAACGTAGACTGCTTTCTTCCTAACTAACATCTGGCTGAGAAAATCTAACTAAACCATGAAGAGAAACAAGAAGCAGATGTGGAAATTTTTTTCTCAAATTTAGCATATATACTCATAAAATGCAATTATTACAATGAAAACAAGAGCTTAAAATCCCTGAAATTAAGTTTAATTGCTTCATTTCACAAAGAAGAAAATAGCAGCCAAGGTCTAAGATAAAACATCATTTTCAGGTTTTACTATATTTATGCAGCACTATTCACCTATTCTTTTCTTAAACCTATTCTTTTTAACTCAGAAAAGATTACTACACATCCACCAGAATAGCTATAATCACAAAATCAGACAATACCAAGCACCGGTTAGGATGTAGAGGAAAGGGACCTTACTCATTGCAACTGGGAACGCTAAATAGTACAGACACTTTGGAAAACAATTTGGCAGTTTCTTAAGAAGTTAAACACAAACTTAACATATGACCTGGAAACTGCACTCCTAAGACCACACTCAAGAGAAATGAAAACATATATCCCCACAAAGACTTATATGTGAATGTTCATAGCATTATTCATAATAGTCAATATTGGAAACAATCCAAATGTCTAATAATCAAGTAATGGATAAACAAATCGGTATATCTATACAATGGGATACTACTACCTAGCAATTAAAAAGAATGAACTTATACATGTGCCAACATGGAGGAACCTCAAAAGCACTAAATTAAATGAAATAAGCCATATTCAAAAGACTGTAATGTATGAGTCCATTTATATGCAATGTCTAAAAACGGCAAATTTGTAGAAACAAAAAGCTGATCAATGCCTAGGCCCAAAGGTGAGAGTGGGGATTAATATGCAAATGGCACAAAGAAAACTTTGGGGGACAAAAATGTTCTAAAATAGGATTGTGGTAATGGCTGCACAACTGTAGAAGCTTACTAAAATCACTGAATTCACTTAGAGTGAGCGAATTCTATGGTATGTAAATTATACCTTAATAAAGCTGTTAAAAAAAGTTCCAAGAAATTCAAACTGCCCATCAACGTCCCACTCCCGACAAATAAAATCCTTCAAAATGACTAAACAAATAATTGCAGAGAATTATAATATACCTATTTCAGATTTCAAGTGATAAAAATATCAGAAGATCACTGTTCCACTGAGTAACTACTACACACACACACACACACACACACACACACACACACACACCACAGCTAAAGATCACAAATCAGGCCGCTGTGCCAAGTAAGTATTTGAGTATTTGAAATGGAAACTGGAAATGCAGCCAAGTTCAAGTTCTGTTTGCCTGTCACTGATGACAAAGTCTTTTCAATGATATAAAAATTCTGCCTCAGAAAAATGAGGTCTCATACAGTCCAGCAATTTAAGTCATCTAATATTATACCAGTATTATATACCTACACTTATGTATATATTAGTTATCCTACTTCTGCCTTGCTTATTTTTTCTGAAGGGAGATGTACACTGGTTTAGTCACCTAGAAAATGCCGTTAACATTTTATTCTGTAAATATATTTGACAAAATATTTTTGCATATTTCTATCAACCAGCCCTCAAATGTGTGCTTTTACAGTTCAGAAACAAGCTTCTGATGTACTGAAATGACCTCTCTCACTGGTAAGGTAAAACTTAAGAAAACACTTGGCTGCTGAGATAAATATACACATGCACCTTGTATATAAGTGTAAATGTATATAATGATACATATTTTTCCTCCCTCCACAAAAGTTTACTTCAAACATGTACGTTACTGTAGACCCAGTCACGGTGCCAATAAAACGTCTTCCTGTCTACCTACTTATCCTAGGTGATTGTCTCAAACAAGAAAATGGTTTCATATAGTTTCCTTTTCCTATTCTTCTTGGTAAAAGCTGTGACTTAACCTAAAGCTCTTAACACTTACCTATCCCTTATCTAACAAATTCCTTGTTTTATCAATCATTCCCCTCTTGCCTCCACCCTATCTTTTTAGTTAGATATTCTCTTCTTCCCCTTTCCTTCTATCTACTGGCTTTGGCTAACTGTTGGTGTATATGCAGGTGCACTGCTGTACTCTTGGGTGTAATATACAAAACATAACTCTAAAACAATGGCATTGTTCTTAGAGCACATTTAATTGAGTGCTGACACCCTCCAGTAGTCATCTTTAAAAGCTTATTCTATTAACACTATTGTAACTCAAAGTAACATTTTATGAACTGAATAAAAGCTAAATATATATTGCATATGCTTATTTTTTAAATTTCATCAAAGCCATAAGAATATATCCACATTATTAGAGTAGAAAATAATTTCTTGAACACTTAACCAAGTGCAGGCACAAGTCTTATAATCCTCCCAATAACCGGAGGAAGTAGGTACCTTTTTAAGTTCAGTTGAACCATAAGAAGGAGCTTTTTTGTAGGTCAAAATATGCATTACTCATATTTTCATAGCAAAACTAAGCCCCGGGTCACATAGTAAGTGACAGAGTTACTACCCAACGTAATCTCCCACCGTGACAGATTTTTCCCGCATTCAAAATAGGAAAGACATGCCTTCCCAGCAGTTTGTGAATGAAATAAATTCAGATAGAAAAAAACTATTTCCCAAAGAACCTCTGGTTAGCTACAACTTCAACAGGGACTAATTCTAGGCCTAGGTTCAAAGAAGTCAATGTAATATTATCCTATATTATTAGAAATAGAGGATCTGTCTACATCAAGAAAAAGTATTGTATTTGTCCTGATCAGCCATGTCCAGAATACTGACAATTTGAGTACCCCCAGGGGTAATGCTCAGGATGGAGATGGCTCTGACACTAGGTTTAAACAGGAAACCATTCATGAAATTGGGAATATTTACTAATTTAGGGAAAGCCACAACAGAGGAGACAGATAAAAAGAACAGCCTGGTTAAGTATGACAAGTAATGGATATGAAGGGAGAAGATGTGGGTCTGAAGGCAAAGGCTGTGGACACAGCTATTCACAAGTTATATCACTTTGGCTAACTTAATCTGAGACCTAAGTCTCTTATTCCATAAAATGGAATTAGCTCTTGACCTATATCATGAGGTTTAAAATAACATATGTGAGAGTATCTGAAATAGTGAAGAGTGAGTGTGACAAAGGTAAAGTATTATTAGTATATCTGAAATGCCCTGCCACCTGATAGGAAAGGCTGAACTGAACTGACTCTGAGATGTGTCCGAGGACAGGACTGGAAACCAAAGTGTGGCAGTTACAGGGGCAGTTGTCATCTTCCTGGAGCTGTCCAACAATGAAACAGGCTGCTGTGTGAACTTCTCATTTATCTGTCCTAATGTGCCCAAGAGACTAGTTAAGTTAATTAAGGATGTTACAGAGTATATTCTTACGTTGCATCTTTACCTTTCTTCTCAAAACTAAGTTCACAATTAAATTTAAGCCATTGCCAAAAATAAAATTTGCCCTCAAGGGATAAATGCTTGTTACTACTGATAACACAGAAAACAATCTCAAAAGGCAGCACCAAGGTAATTATGAACATCAGCCGCACTATTGAAGCAAAGGTGAAGGGAGTGTTCATTGGTGACAAGACTTCGTGTACGGGTATTTGCAGTGAGAAAGACAGGGATAAATTCCACTCAAACTGTTAGTACTTAGTTAAACACAAAACTTCAGTCCCACTTTTACACTGGCATTTCGAAACCATCAGAACGGTTTACTTGTCACAGCTACAACTCTTCCTTGCCCATGCCAATCCCATCCACTTCCTCAGGTATGCACACACTGATACCACAACAGTCCACTTAAACTCTTAAAAATGTTCATCTGTGACAATTTGGTATTTTGATAACTGGCTAATAGGCCCCTGCAAAGCAACTGTAACTTTTACTTGGGGGTAAGCTGGGAGGGTTGAAGCAGTAGGATGCCCTCACTAAAGATATAAAAACTATAGTCTTATTTTATTCACTGCTTCACCTTATTCTACCAAGACCCTGAGGTAAAATTTTTCTAACGCGTATTCTATGAGAGGCAGAAGACTTCAACCACCAGGTGGCACAATTTTAGAAAATAAAAAAACCGAGAGTAAGCAATACATTAACTAGTGAAGAAAAGGGAGGAAGCATTCTAATAACACATTTCAGCAGATCTATGATCACAAGGGGGAAACCCTATATTTTAATGCCACTTAGGCTTTCTTTAGAAAGATTTTGCTATTGCGTGGCCCCACCAGAAAGAAATTTACACTACAGTTATAATTTCTAATGTCATTTTAAAACAAGCCCAGAAAAGCTCTTGTTCAGAGTCTGAAGAATCTGTTCTCCAGGAAAAATGATAAAATAAGAGTTAATGCTTTCTAAAAGATATTTTTTTAAAGTCTAATTTCAGAAAGCACCGGAATTAGTTAAGTGAGTGTTTCTCTACTTCAAACTGCACCATATTCAGTAGAGGTAGCAGACATAGCAGGGGACTACCTACCCTTACCCACTTTTACTTATCACAGCTGCAAAGTCACCAAATCTAAACAGATGCTTTTGAGTAAGTGACAAGTGCTCCCAGAGTATAGACCATGCCCCACTGCTACTGAGAGCATCCCACATAATTTCTTAAGGAATGGGCCCAGGTGCAGCCTTCCCTGAACTAATATTTATCAGCACTTACTTGGTGCTGAGCACTCTGTCAGATCACATGAATTTCAGAGGAAAAAAAATTAGTCCATGAACTTCAACGAACACACAGGCTAGTGAGGGAAAGGACATTCCCCTAAATGCACATAGTAAATGCCCAATAAATGTTTGCTGAACGTTGAATATAGGATTACCATGGATTTGAGAAATTGATTCAGACATCGACATAGTTTTTTTTTTAAAAAGGTGGGAAATGAGGGTCACTTTAAATCAACCAAACAAGTGCAGAAGCCTGTGTGGATAGAAAAGGAGACACAAGGGGTGTCACAACAGAATTCCTTTGCCAGCGCAAACTTCTTTTATGCATTTAAGTCTTCAAATGAAGGCTTCCAGAACTCGGATTTACTGAAGACTCTTCATAAACCACTTACTGTGAAATGACAAGCTCAGTAATCTTGAAACCCAATAAATGAGATTTGAATGTAACTTTCCTTGAAAACCGTACTGAGGGTGATCTCACTGGATTCTCGCATCGCAAGACGGATTGGTGGGAACTTTCTCTGAAACTGAGATGCGCCCTAACAGGCTCCCACCTACCACAAGCAAATCCTAAATGCCTGGATACCCACTAACAGTAATTATCACACAACGTACTGAGCGCTCACCGCGTCAGACACGGTGTTCAGGGCTTCCCTTCTCACAACCGAGGCGCTGGGTTATACCCATTTCACAGGCGAGGAGGCTGACGCTCGGGGTGAGGAGCTCGCCCAAGGTCACGGGCTCGAGACCGGCGGCGGGGCCGATTCCCGCAGACAGTGAAGGTCTACACCGAAGCCGGCTCTCAACTACCAGTGCGCGTCCCAGAGAATGCCAGAGGGCGGGGAGCTCAGGACGACTCCAACGCCCCGGCAACACCCAGCGCAGTGGTCCCAACCCCCCAGGCGGGCGCGAAGTCTCGGTAGGATGGCACACAGCGGGGCGCGCGAGCTTGGGACCTGAGGGGGGACAGGTGAGTGTCCCGCGGCCTCCCCTCACACCTCGGCCACGAAGAGAGCGCTCCTCGGAACGGCCCGGACCCCCGAGACTCACCCGACTGGCGGCCACACCCGGAGAGCGGAAGCGGTATTCACCGGCGAAGACTCTGCACCCAAAAGCCGGCGGCCAGGGCGCCGGAGCCTGGACTGCTCCGGGTGACGAAGGTTCCGCGCCCTCCACGCCTGACCCTGCGCGGCCAGCCCCCACCGCTCGCCGCCCGATGCGCATGCGCCATCCGGCCTGGACAGGCCCATTTTCTGGCGCTGTAGGGGGAGGGAGAGCGAGTCCGCGAAGGCAAGGCAGAGCCCGAACTTTAAGTCGAACCGACGAGCCAGATTTCGTGGCTGGCATTAAAGTACTCAAACAATATTCTCTGCTAAGAAGAGTGAGGCGGGGACTCGGCGAGTTTCACTTCCGTTGCTCTCCCCACATGGTCCCCTGTGCCGAGGGTACAGTCCAAAGTTTTGGCTCCGGTGGGCGGGGCTCCAGGTCGGCGGGAACTGCAATTGGTGGCTTTGAAGGTGCAGCAGGCGGGAACAGCTGATGAGGAGAGCCGGCCGGCGATGTGGTACGGTAAGAGGACCCCTGGCGGCATGGCATCGGGCCCCCGAGCGTGGCGGGAGCCTTAAAGAAGCCACGTCCCATGCCTCTGAGGCGACTCTTTCGCGACTGCCGCAAGTCCCAAGGTGCGGGATTGGCCCTTGGTCTCGGGCCGGAGGCTGGGGACTACAGTTGAGGCAGAAGTGAGGAGGACGGTGACGCTGGGCCGTGACGTCACATCCGCCCGTGGTGGGGCGGGGGCCTCACGTAGGACCTGCGTCACGCTGGAGCCGCGCCGAGCTGTCACCGGCTAAACTATCCCAGCCCTGGGTTGCTGCTTTCCCCAGAGTTGAGTGTTCTTGTTTTTGGTTAACCTTGGCGTCCGTCCTTTTTAGTCTTTGCAGCCTCTCGCATTACTCCTGCTGCTCCTTGTGGCAGCTCTTATGCTCTGCAGATTTCCAAGAAAGTTACTTAAAAGTGACCTTTTTTGTCATGCGTTCATTCAGCTGTTATATCTCGAGCACCAAGCCAAGCACTGTGCTAAGCTAGCTCAGATGTAAAAAGAAGTTAGCGAATCACAGGGAATCAGAAGAGTTTATTCAAGGGTTTTCCAACTTTATTGATGAGATTGCGTGGACTCTTTCTACCAGAATTCTTTAGAATGGCATTCCCAAAGTTTAGCGGGAATTAAGACTCTTAGTCCTAAAATGCAAAAATCTCAAGCCCTTCTCGGTCCCCCACACGCCCCCAGTTTAAATCGTTGGAGCCCAGGAATCTGCATTTTAGCAACCACCATCTCCAGTGTTTTTGATGGGAGACGTTGGCTTGATATTGTCACCGACTGTTGGACCCTAATCCTTCCCAGGTTGTTTACCTCCTCAGGCATGGCTGCTTCACGAGAGTCTCTAAGACTTCATTCCAACAAGTATTTCCACTAGACAGTTCTTGGGCTGACACTGTTCTAGATTCTAGGAATGCAGCTATGAATAAGACAAACATAGTTCCTGCCCTAGTGAAGCTTAATCAAATATTTAATGCAATAAAGTAATCAATAAGCAAGATAATTTCAGATAGTTCTGTAAAGACAAGGTGGGGAAAGAACTAGATTGGGTGGTCAGGGTAAGTCTCTCTGTGAAGAAGCATGGCTGAGACCTGAATTACAAGAGCCATGTGAATATGTGCAGAAGAACCTTCTAAACAGGGGTCACCGCAGATGCAATGGCCCTTAGCTGAAGGGATCCTCTTGTAATAGAGAAACTAGAAGGGCAGTGTAGCTGGAGCTCAGAAAGCCAAGGAGCGAGTGGTAGATGACAGGGAGGCAGGAACCAAACAACGCAGGGCCTTGTGGACCGTGGTGAGGATTTCAGTCCTGACATTAAGGCAGGTGGGTCCTGCATCTGGACAAGGAAATGAGTCAGGCTCAATTTTCATGATCCTGATGCTGCACCCACATTCTTAATTCAGTTATTTTTCTCTCTAAAAAACTAACCATTCCTCCTTATTTTTAACTATTGTTTTTAGTATCTTTTCAAAGTATTGGGTTGGCCAAAAAGTTCAGTTTTGCCATAAGATGTTACAGAAAAACCCGCACAAACATTTTGGGCAACCCAGTATATTCAACTACCCATATATTTTCATAAGTGGGTGATGGTAATAAATCATATGCCGTGTTCAACACTTAAATGGTAGAAGTACGTCGCAGCCAGGATTCTTTTAGGGGAATCTCCTCTATTTGCCCTTGGAAATCCCAGAGTCGTGGTGGAAGCAGGTGAGATTGACAGACTGACTTCTGCCTCTAGTCATAAACACAGCCCTTCATGATCTCTGACCTCACCTCCTCCTCTGTGCCTTTTCACTCACCACTCTGACCTCTCTGGAGGCCTCCTTCTCCCTGTCCCTTGAAGGCCCCGAGGCTTTTGCACTTGCTGTTCCATCTGCCTGGAAAGCTCCTCCACCAGCTAGCCCCATGGCTCACTCCCCCTCCCCCAAGGATTGACTCAAATGTCACCTTCTCTCTGAGGCCTGCTCTCCATCCCCACCACCCACTGCCAGCCTGCTCCACTTTCACTGCTTCCTAACACCACTCCGTTTTCTCCTCAGCACTTATCCCTTTTAACATTTTTTGTGATTTTCCTGTTGCCTGTCTCTCCCAACTAGAAAGGACGCTCCATATTGGCAGGGATTTTTGTCTTTTTGGTTAAAGCTGTATCTATCCCCAGTGCCTAGAAAAGTGCCTGGCACACACGGGTACTCAGTAATTTGATACATGAATCAGTAAATGAGTGAATGATTCACATGTCATGGCCATCAAAAGATCAAAACACTCTAGCCAGGAAAGGAGGAAAAGCACTAATTTTTTAAAACTCTAAAACATATTTAAATGTACGCTTAAGGAGAAAATAGTTTAATCCTCCTGTTGGAACACTGTTCACAGAGCACCTGAAAAATGGTAAACATTTGGGTGTTTGACCTACAGATCAAAATTCTGGCTAAAAATATCAAGTTGAAAATTCACTAAGTTACACTTTTGTGTTTGGTTAATAATTTATCGTGCTGTTTTTGGTTTTGTCTTTACGAAAGTGCCAAAGAGATGGATGAAACTGTTTCCGAGTTTTTCAGGAGGACCATCTTGAAAATCCCATTGACTGAAATGATGACAATACTAAAAACCTGGAATTTTTTGTCTGAAAATCAACTGCAGACTGTAAACTTCCGGCAGAGAAAGGAATCTCTTGTTCAGGACTTGGTTCTGCTTTGTGAGGTAACAGTGTTCAAAATAATTAACGTTGAACATGATGCTACCCTTTGGTTTTTTTCTTTCCTTTCCTTAGTCCGAAAGAGATGTAAGGTAGCTGCTAGGCTGTGAAGTTAGGAGGGCTACATACCACGATAGCGGAAAAGGAGCTAATTTTTTTTTTAATTTATTTTTGGCTGCGTTGGGTCGTCGTTGCTGCGCGCGGGCTTTCTCTAGTTGCGGCGAGCGAGGGCTACTCTTTATTGCGGTGCACAGGCTTCTCAGTGCGGTGGCTCCTCTTGTTGTGGAGTGCGGGCTCTAGAGCGCGGGCTCAGTGGTTGTGGCACACGGGCTTAGTTCCTCCACGGCAAGTGGGATCCTCCCGGACCAGGGCTCGAACCCGTATCCCCTGCATTGGCAGGTGGATTCTTAACCACTGTGCCACCAGGAAAGCTCCTCCTCATTCATTTTTAAATAAATATACTTTATGACCCAGCAATTCCACTTCGAAATTTACATATATGGAAAACATAATAAAAAATAAGGAGGTATATGTAATATCATAATTGATAAACATTTATATACCTAGTTATAGATATGTAAATATCTATATATAAAGATGTTAACTAGCATTGTTTACACACAAAAAATTGGAAACTACTTAGGAGATTAGATAAATAATGATATGTCCACATAAAATATTCCTTAACCATTAAAAAGAATAAACTAGATCTTTCTGTATAACACTGAAAGAAACTATATAATATGTAAACATATAAATGTGTGTGTATAGAGCAGTGGTTCTCAGCTGGGATGATTTTGTCTCCCAGAGGACACAATGTCTGGAGACGTTTTTGGGTGTAAAAACTGTGGGATTGGGGTGCTGCTGGCTTCCAGTGGGTAGAGGCCAGGAATGCTCCTTTACATCCTAGGACAGCTTCTAAAACACAGCTTCATCTGACTCAAAATGTCACTAGCACCTGGTTGAGAAAACCTGGGACAGAGGAAATCTAGACGGATACCATAGATTTTAAAAAAAGAAGTTAAAAGTGATAAATGAGGATTAGATCGGGGGAGAACAGTTGTGAGAACCTGTAATGAGACACGAATCAGAAGGTGTATGTGTTACTTAACAGGAGAGCAGACATGGGAGACAGGTTGTCAGTAAAGTACTGAGAGGGCCCTCATCTGCTCTAAGCAATCCTAAAATGTGCTGTAGATGGGGTAGAACCACAGCTATCACCACAATTACTAAAAATGGTATATTCTCTTTCAGGAGAATCATGCAAGTCTCAATGATGCAGCCCTTTTAGACATCATTTGTAAGTTTTGGTGATTTGTATTTACGCTTAACCAGTCCAGTTTCATCAGAGAGGCAGTTTTGAATGTAACGGCTCAGATTCTAGAGTCAAGTTGACCTGGTTTCATATTTCAGCTCTGTCACTTACCAGTCTTGTGTCCTTTGCCAAGTCACACCTTTTTTTAAGCCTCAGACTTTTCTTAAGTAAAATGGACATAATAACAGCTTCTACTTCACAGGATTGTTATGAGGGTTAAATAAGACTTGAAAAGCCCTTAGCACAGTAACTGACATACAATAAGCACATAGTTAGTGTTTGTTAGGCTTTGTATTATTATTAACAGAATTTGAAAATAGATGTCTGCGAATGTGTTCTAATTACAGTGCAGCTTGTAAGGAACATACGGATTAACACTGACCATACTTGCACGTAGAGTGGTCATGGGGGCAGTAAGTGGGAAAGGCACACATGGCTCTGGGGTCTGCATTGCAACTAGAAGGAAATTGGGCCCCCGGCTAAGATAGGAGACACTAGAGGTGGACCAAGCTTGTCACAAATATCATGGATTAGTCTAGCATGTGTTCTATTTGAGGAAATGTCTGCATTTGT